ATATTCTTTTTTTTTATCACGTAAGGATTTTTTACAAATTGAGAAGAAAACACTTTTACTTAGATCAAATTATTATTTCGTTTACCACAATGAACATTTCTAATTATTATGTTTGGATTCTAGAGCGATCGATAAGACTCTCACGTCGCGATTGGTCTAGAGAAATGTATAGCCAGTGGTTGTCAGCATTTTAAGCATAACAAAATGTGACCGGATTACAATGAAAATGATTCACTTATGTAAAAGTACATATGACGTTTTGTGAAAAATCTGTACGCGATAGAGAAAAGTTGATATCATTTTCGGATTCGGCGTACAGGAATAACTGTAGAACATGTAAAGATTTCAAGAAAATAAAACTATCGCAGGACTGTGTAATCCATGAAAAACATTTTCAAAACGATGTTTACGAAATACGTGGAAACTACCTAGTTGTATTACTTAGAAATAACATATGCAGTCAACAAATAACTATTTTCTCTTGAACTCATGTCATAACGTATCTGAGTCGATGCTCACTTATATAACAGCAAAATTACAAATGAAGAAACGTAGTGAAAACTGTACAACAAAACCAGCAATTGTAGTAGAGGCATATTAGTAATGCTACGCACAACTTTTACAAACTAACTTTGTGTTTTTAGCATAATAACTGTACCGTTTCGTTACTTATTTATTACTATTCGATCTTGAATACGGTGTTACAACTACACCAGCAAGCCACAGTGGCTACAAATGTTTACATGATCTGTCTGAAAGGATAAACTTGGCACTTGTTTAACATCGTTTCGTAAAAGAAGAGAACAACATGAATAGCATAATTTAGCCGTAACGTAAAATTTGAAATTAACATTGTAACAGATATAAATGAATAGAAACCATTTTAAATATTAGGTTGCTTTATAAACAGTTGAAGGAGATTTTCCAATTATATTTACAAAATAACTTTATTATTCTATTTGAATGTTTATATTATGTGACTCCCGAACCCATGAATTTGATCACAGCAAGTTAATTGTGTTTTTTAATTTGAATATTTCCCTTGAAAACATTGTAATAGAGCTATTGTATTTTAGTAGTATTTTCATTTTGGAAAGACATCTTATCAGTGGTAATTTGTTGCTAACTCTGAGAAATCGGTGTGCTACGACAAACCGTAGGTTTTGATTTAATACCTTGGAAATGTCAGCAGACGTCTTTATGACACGTGGACCTGTTGATTTAATACCTTGAAAATGTCAGCAGATGTTTTTATGACACGTGGACCTGTTGATTTAATACCTTGGATATGTCAGCAGACGTCTTTATGACACGTGGACCTGTTGATTTAATACCTAGGATATGTCAGCAGACGTCTTTATGACACGTGGACCTGTTGATTTAATACCTTGAAAATGTCAGGAAATTTCGTTATGATACGTGGAACTGAGAAAAATACACTTTACAAGTGATCGGTAATTATGACACATTGTTACTGTATGCATTTAAAAGTCATTTACACAAAAGTAGAGAAATAGTCAGCAATTTCCTAGAACAAAAATGTCAATGTTTTAATCACGTTTCAGTTTTCTATAAGATGTAAAATTATATTATGAAAATTATATGCTCATGTTAAGAAATTTAATATAACTTCCAGACACATTTATCATATGTTTATGTGAATGCTCAATCTGTATTTAAGGATGTTTAGTACATATTTAGTACATTGATTAAAAATAAAATGTTCATGGATTTAAAGAATTATTGCCAACACAGACGGACTCCCAGTGGCACAGCGGTATGTCTGCGGACTTACAACGCTAGAAACCGGGTTTCGATACCCGTGGTGACACGCGTAGATTTAAGTAATTGATGTTTTCAGAAAAGTTTGCAACGTTGAATTGTTCATGTCAGGTCTTTAAGGACATAAGAAATAAATCATGTCGGAGACAACAGCATTGTGCTAAACATCCAGCACAATAGAAATTTAAATTTTATTTTCCAAAATTATGATCTATACATCACTTAACAGCTCGTGTAATTATAAGTTGTTTTTTTTTACTAAAACATATTACAAGAAACAACTTTGAAAAGTCGTTTCTTCCACGTGATAATTAAAATATAATGAACTTGTTCATTCAACAAACGTGTTTTGTAAATTAATATTTCATCCACAAATTATATAAATTAATCGAATCAATATATATAGGTACACAATATGTATGTTCTCAGAAAGCTAAAGATAGAATAAAACGTTTTAAGATAAACGTGTATTGTTTGTTTTAAAATAAATTTATAAACTTCCCAGGCCTTGTCCGTTATTTTGATAATAAAGTTAGAAAAAAAAAAGACCTTTACTCTCCAGATAATAATAGAAAAATATTTTTATTTCAGCTAAGATTTTGCCATTACGGCTTCATCATGACTAGTGGTACAAGAACTCTTTTACTACTAGCCCCAGTGACGAAACGTTGACTGAAATATAAAGTTTTTTATTACTATCTGGAAAGTAAAGGTCGTTTTTTCTTTCTAATTTTATTGCCAAAATGTATAAATCCCTCTAGTGTACAAATTCTGAAAAACAACATGTCTTATCTTTTATTGTTTCATACTGTTAACATTCATTCCTCGCTTATTGCTAGAATAATACAGTATTAAACGCATTTATTAAATTATTAGTTTTTTAGCAACATTCTTAATTTTTCGAAGCCTAACGAAAGAGCTCTTAATCAAATCTGTTGATTACAACAAATAAACAGAGCACATATACAATCAGGTCTATGTTTGAGCGTGTGATTTATCTGTCATTGATAATTATCTTGGTCAGAGCGACTAAACCAACCAATATAGCTGTACCACCTACATCGAATACATGGCTTCGTTAGATGTGATTAATACAGAAATACTGAGCTCATTCGAAGACACTACCGGATAAGAAAATTGGAATCATATAATTTACCATTATTATCGCTGTTTGTAAGGTAAATCCATGTTTTTGCAATGAAGACTTCCCATTGTTATTGTTGAAGGATTTGATATTCTATGGATCTGCACTATAATCCCATTCAAGATCTACACTATGCTTTTTGGATTTGATGCGAGTGTATCCTTGCTGCATGTGAGCTCTGGGTTTTAGACAGAAGCTTCTCTTATACAAAAGGTACGAACAGAATGCTAGTGTGATGACAAACAAAGCAAATGTCATCAGGGCATAGATTATGATCAGATCAACTCTGAGCTCCAAACCACACACAAAGTCTTTCTCTTGCAAGGAGGATACTGGTCGTCCTTGGAACTTCTGAGGGAACTGACACCTGAAAACAAAACAGTTTAATTCAATATTTATTATACATGACATAAACTGTACTCAAACTGCAGATCACAGATAGTCCATTGTGTAGCTTTGTGCTTAACTTCAAAACAAACAAACAGTATAACTTAAAGTTAGAACCGAAGTTTTAACAGCATTATGTATGAAAAATACTTGAAATTCTACAAAATTAAATAAACTAAACACGTTTTCGACAACTTCAAAGCCTTTGGCGAGTCAGCAGTAAGTTTACTGATGTACATCTCAAAAGCAGAATTCGATTCTTTGCGGTGGACAGAGTGCAGATAGCCCTTTTTGTAGCTCTACGCTAAACAAATAGACAGGGAAATAGCAATTCAAATTTGTACACTGTAAAATAAATAATGAAAGTTATTAAATTTGTGATATACTCCAGTGCACGGATTTCCAAAAGAGCAGTCAGTTAGGGCACGCTAAGAGGAGGTTCGAAAAATACCACACTACAATGTATAGGTTTGTCTCTCTCGCTCTGAACTCTTACTGAGTTCGTCAAAAACTGAAGCGGTAAAGAAATTTTATTGGTCTCTTTCACAAGCTCGGTGTAAAACCCCCCTCCTCTATAAGCTAAAAGAAAACGGAAGTGTTAAAATAAAAACAACCCCTGAAAGTTAAAGTAAAATAAGGTTAATTTATAAACAAAGAAACGCAACTTTAAGAAATCGCTAAACTTAAGTCTCTCTTGAAGAACTCTAGAGTATCTATATGAAACATCTAACATATCTTTGAAAACCCTGCTTAATAGGGTGGAACATGGCTTTAAATACTAAAAACAATAATATAAACAAAACCAAGTTGTCCACTCCATGTTCCTCGCACATGTGACCTTGCACCATATTTGTTCCACCGTAGAGGCGTGTAAATCCCGGCCATTATACGATTCACCGACAGAAAAGACAGTGTTCCATATCAAGACATCACGTAACAACTTTCTTTCCTGTAAGAGAACACGCCTATTGGCTGACTAGCGGATCCAAGTCTTGAGTGCACAAGAGCAAGGAAACTTGAGTTGTTTAATTGAGCGACTCTCTGCTTTCAAAATTAACTGAAAAAGAAACAAAAATTTCGAAAACTATACATATTAACTGAAGAAATAACTAATACATGGTATCGTCCTGTACCACATATTGCTTGAAAAACTCAATACAATGTATGGTTCTAATTAATAAAAAATATTAATATATTATTACCTAATAGTATCTTTGACTTTTCGTGGGAGACGTATTCTGACCAACCACTGCAGTCGACAATCACATCGCCAGGGGTTACCTGAAACATCAATATCCTCAAGTATGACCCAGTTCAGCATTGAATAACGCATTGTTTCCAAGCGATTGTGGTGCATGTAAATTTTCTGCACATGAACAATCTTTCCAGTATCATTTCTTCTGAAAGCGTCTGGGTGAACACTGGTCAGCAAAGAATTGAAACTGCAATGCAGCTCTTTCAAATTTTGCAATCCATGAAACGCGTTGCGGCCAATGGTTTCCAACTTGCCCATGTTGTTCATCTTCAGAACAGAAAGACTTTCGAGCGTTTTGAAAGCATTAGGTTTAATTTCCTTAATTGGGTTTTCGCTGAGATCTAGATGCTCTAGCTTTGTAGCTGTCTCCATCGACGTTGTAGGAACATCTTCCAGTAAATTTTCTTTTAGCTTGAGGATAGTTAGTTTGCCGTTGAATTTAAACAAGTCATCTGGCAGCACCCTTAGGCCTGTCCGCTCCAAATGCACTTCTCTAAGATTTGACAAGTACCGAAATATCTCACTCTGTAGATTGAACAAAGGGTTAGAATTCAGATTTAGGCTTTTTAAGTTTTTCAATGATTCCAGGGTTGAGTAAAAAAAATCTTGAATTCTGTTGTTGCTTAGATCTAGAATTTCTAACTGACTTTGCTTCTCAAAAACCTGGTCTGATAAACTCCAGATTTTATTATCGGAAAGATCCAAATACTTCAGATTTTCCAGATTTTTAAATGCCCCATCAGAAATAAAGTCTATTTGGTTAGAAGAAAGGTCCAGATGTAGCACACTATTTCCACTGCTAAAAGTGCCAGGATTAATCGTCTTCAGGCTATTCCTATTGATTATTACGATATTCAGATTTGTAGGGAATATTATTCCTCCAGGAAGATTCTCGACATTCCGGCGGCTACAGTCAAGAACTCCGTTGGAAAGATCTTGAGGAAGGCACGAACATTGCTTACACAATTTATCATAACTTTCAGGGGCGTTATCACCGGGAAAGAAAGGAAACCTAAAACTTTGGCAGCACACGATGAAAACCCCAAAAACTACAACTGCAAAGGTTCTCCGCAACATTGTGCACTACCTGCGAAAATAAAATGAAAGAAATCACCGATATAACCGTTAGGGAAATATAGAACTTAAGAACAAAATAAATTAATGTTTCTAACTAGGTTAATTATTGAAAAAAAGAAGAAGAATGAGTAGAATGCGTGTTTTGATTAAAAGTACGTAGAAATGCGTGCAATATCCTCAATTTTTAGATACAACTACGTTTCTTTTAGTATAATTTACGATCTCCTTGTAACGCGTAAATTCGAAATTATAATTAATGTCAGTAAAGGCAAAAATAACGACAGTTTCAATTAAATAATTATAATAACAGTCCTATAATGATCGTTGGTTTGGTTTGAATTCCGTGCAAAGCTACTCGAGGGCTATCTGCATTAGCCGTTCCTAATTTAGCAGTGATAAGCTAGAGGACAGACAGATAGTCAACACCACCCATTGCCAACTCTTGGACTACTATTTTACCGCCCCCCAGTGGCACAGCGGTATGTCTGCGGACTTACAACGCTAGAATCCGGGTTTCGATACCCGTGGTGGGCAGAGCACAGATAGCCCATTGAGTAGCTTTGTGCTTAATTACAAACAAACAAACTATTTTACCAACGAATAGTGGGATTAACCAAACGTTATAACGCCCCCACGGCTGAAAGGGTGAAAATGTTCTGTGTGATGGGGATTCGAACCCACAGACTGTGAGTCGAGCGCCCTAACTACCAGGCCCTGTAATGATCGTTCTGTAATCCAAGTCAATAATGTAAATATGACACCATATCTGAAAGTCTGAAACTCTTTATTTCAAAATTAGCGGAGATATACAGACATACTTTTGATTACAGCGTAGGCCTCAGGCAGATTTCAACTGTAAACTTTTATGGTTGTTATCATTAGTGGATACATTCAGGAATTTAAGGAATATTTGATAAACATTTGAAAGTAAGGAATATTAAATAAAAGTTCAGAAATTATATTTTATTAGTATTACTATTCAGAAGCAACGGAAACTTTCTATTTAATTGAAGCAAACACCGTTTACCAAAATTTTGCCCCCCCCCCCCACCAGTGGCGCAGCAGCGTGTCTGCGAACTTATACTGTTAGAAACCGGGTTTCGATACCCGTGATGGGCAGATAGACCTTTGAGTAGCTTTGTGCTTATTAACAAACAACAACCAAAATTTTCATATTTGCTCCCATTTATGTTCAGGAATTTAACTGATATTTCATAAAAATTAAGAAATAAGAAATAAACTGGAAAACATTAAGAAAAATGAAGAATACTCGGTAAGTGTTCAGTAATTATCTTTTAGTAAGCTTATAACAAATGATTCGAAAAATGTAAAGCATTTTCTCCCCGGAATGTCCAGAGGACTCTTAGGATTCTTAATAAAAATACAGTCGTAAATAGTTATTAAACTTAGAGAAACTTATATATATAACAGAATAGTCTGTACATAAGATTAATGGAAACAAAGACCTTCGATGACGAAAATCACCAATTTAACACACTTCATAGTTCTCAGTGTTATTCATGATATATACTATATTAAATAAGTTGCCCCCCGGTGACTCAACGGTAACTCTGAACGCTAAAAATCGGATTTCTGTAGTTACGATGGGCAAAGCACAGATAACCCATTGTGTAGCTTTGCGCTTAACAACAACCAATCATTAAATATATTAATAAAACAAGCAATAGAACAGGTATCAATTAATTCTTTATTACTCTCAATTTGAGTAGAACAATACATTATATATATATATATATTTACTAATGTTTTACTTATAACCTTTATGCTTTGATGCTTATGCTTATATCAATACTCTTTTCGAAGTTCTAGACTACAGACATATCAAAACATAAATTTATTCCAACATTTTTTGTTTACGTATTTCATATCCATGTTCGAAAACTTCTTTAACTAGACAAAGCAGTACGATATATTCAAGAACCTTCAAATCATTTCCTCATTGAATGCGTAGACAAATAATATAAAGATAAACCACGAACTTAAAAATTAAAAAATATATATCTTAATCCACTCTTCCTTACGTTCATGAAACAATCACGCAACTTCTGACAAACAAGCGTAGGGTTATACTGGTATGAATATGATTCTTAGACTGCATTGAGTTAATGCACTAGCAACTACTTAAATTACCTATGTTGATCTTGCTGTACCTCTCTGCTTTAATAATGAACCTATACTTACATGTAGTCGAGATCTCGAAGAAAACGAGTGTAAAGCTCTCTTCCAGTACAACCCAAATAACAAAATGGTGGAATAAAATACCTGCTATCTTTTACTCCACCAATAAAACTGATAGACACACTATGACCACTACAAGCTATAAATGAACTAGAAAACAACACAAGAATCACTGGTCTTTAACAGAAGGGCAAAGCTCAATAGAGGCATAGTAACGAGATAAGCAAACAGCTGATAAACAGCCTCACCGTAGCTGAGCTATAATTATATATATATAATGTTTGTTTGTTTGTAATTAAGCACAAAGCTACACAATGGGCTATCTGTGCTCTGCCCACCACGGGTATCGAAACCCGGTTTCTAGCGTTGTAAGTCCGCAGGCATACCGCTGTGCCACTGGGGGGCTATATATAATTATTACAGAGATTTAGACCACATTTTTGTTTTTCATCGTACCCGAAATTTAGCTTTTTAATTCTGTTAACTTACTGCTGATCCACTGGGAGACATATAATTTAAGCATGAAAAAGATTTATTTAACTTTCTAGTTGTTTCAATTATATATGATTCAAGCCAAACGAAGCCATTAACTCCATATACTCATTAAAATAATTTGTTATGTTCAGAAAATCAATGCTTTTATCACCAACATATATTACATTTTTTATTTTTTTTATTTGTTAAAGCTGTTTTTAGTTCATTTAAAAAATCATATATATTGTAAAGCTATGGGATGTATAAATAGCTGTTATAAGAATATCACTTTATTAGATATATATTCAAAGTTTCTGCTGGTAACGTTTCAGTTGTTTAACTTTTATAGGAGTCTTAATATATAGCATTACCTCCCCCCCCCAAAAAAAAACACCTTTCATTTGCCCTTCTTTTTTCAGCACAAATTTGAAAGTTGATCTTTTTGTGTTTTGTATAATAACTGTTTCAATGTCGATGTTATATGTTCGTTTCAGTAGTCCCCCGCTGGGACAGTGGTAAGTCCTCAGTTTTACAATGCTAAAATCAGCGGTTCGATTCCCCTCGGTGGACACAACAGATACCCCTATGTGGCTTTGCTATAAAACACACACACACACGCTTGTTTGAGTAAATTTTACAATTTCTTTGAATATGGAATTTATATTAGTACGCCTTATATTGTAATTTTCATTTTTATTTGGTACCAACCAGTTATCTCTTATTACTTTGACCCGGCATGGCCTGGTGGTTAGGGTACTCGACTCGCAATCT